AATTTTATCCTGTCAACGTTTCTGTTTAGGTTTCGTAGCTGAAACCCATTCTATTCGGATATTGGATTTCTAGTTCTACGTACTGTACCGTCCTTATATATACCACCTGGGGATGACCATTGGCTCAGGGATTGATTCGGAGCAAGACAAAATGCTTGGGTTTGGCACCGGTGTCGCTTTGATTGAAATTTTTTCGACAGGGTCCTCAAGGCATCTGTTGCGCGAAGGCACCGCCGCGATGTCGTGGTCGTAGCTTTCGCGAGCCGAGAAAAGTCAGCCGCGGTGACAAATCGGGTCAATTTTCTCCTGTCAACATTTCTGTTTAGGTTTCGTAGCTGAAACCCATTCTATTCGGATATTGGATTTCTAGTTCTACGTACTGTACCGTCCTTCAAGTGTCGTCCTGCCACATTCCTAGAAATGAACTGTAATATGCTTGATATGCAGAGCACCTCGATTGCGCGATCGATCTTTCAGTCACAGGCCAACGGCAGAACCACTAGGGTCAAAGGTGAAGCTGTACGTACGTGACCTGCCGCAGCGCGGCGGATGAACTCATGTTCTTCCGAAGTATTCTTTGGACCGATGGGCCTGGCCTCGTAAGTACACAGCAGCAGGTCCGAAGGAGAGACCATGGTGGATATAACCTTATATAGTTAGACTACTTGGTCAGTGGAGACCAGAAAGAATGCACCGACTGAGAGGATGGGGTGCGTGCGCTCTCATCCTCGAGAAATCAATCATGGAATCACACAATCCAAGCAACGTCAACCAGTCAACCGTGTTCAGAATGGCACTGGGCGCAAAGGTAGATACGAAAATAAGACTCCCAACACATTGTTCTCGAACTTGCCACGTACTGGACAGCCTATGTGCGTGATTCACTTGCACTGACGTGAGGTTCAAAAGAGAAGGCTGCGCTTCTGAGAGGCATCCGAATACTCGGCGTATTCTTGCATGCAAGTCTGGGAAACAATGGTACCTACAAATCTACGCACGCAAAGTTCTTGACTACTTGCAATTGTGAAGGCATAGAGCCCTTGCTTGGAACATCTAGCTTGAGTAGGTCACCAACTAGATCGACGTTCGCCTGTAGCATACCTACGGAGGCAGTCTCTGATCCGGGGGGGGGCTCACGGACAGGAGTTGTTCTTGTCCGCGGTGAACCTCAGCCAGCTGGTCAGCCGAAGGCATGTCAAACCAAGAAGCACCGACGTAATCTACCCCCCCAAGGTTTCACCACAGCCGAACAACCCAAATGCAGAGCGCGATAACGAAACTGACAACGGTGCCGCACCACTGATGCTGCCAAGGGAAGCGAACGAACCTAATCTGTTCACGAACGGCCGCTTCGACACACCTTGTTTAGTCGTTCCATGTCAGAACATATCCTAACGTTTTTCCCTGTCCGAGTGTATCTCCCCCTATACCCCAACCCATCCCCTCTCTATGCTCGCACACCTTGGTGAACTCTGTACTCTGTACTCTGTACTCCTCCTCTTGCCCGCCTCTCCCGCAAAAGAAACCACCAAAAAACTGCTCCAACCGCTCCTTGCACTCTTCGTGTCGCTCTCCGTGTGTCACCCGCCCGTCTTTCTCATACCTCTTTTCTTCCTCACGATACGCACGCACGAACTTTCGTTTCCATAACTTGCCCCTTTCAATGCCCCTTTCGTTCTGAACGTCGAGGCGCCCCAGCGTATATTCCACACCCCGCCCCCTTTGTTCCACTCGCTCAATTTTTCTCAACAACAAATTCGAAACATTTGACCAAAATTGGGCACCAAAACTGGAATCTCAATACTCACATACGGGTACCACCTACGCTCGCCAAGGGGCACGTGGATCTGGGGGTCCTGGATCCCAGCGGCAAAACGAACAACACGTCCACCCTGGCCCCGCCCCCCGCAACATATAACCCAAAAATGCAGGGCATGAAACGTGCCTGCCGCCCAGTGTTTGCAAGGGCCACCAACCGAACCCCTAACCATGACACGACCAATAAGAGGGGGCCGCTCATCACCCCCTCCCACCCAAAATTCGTTGCCGTCTTCCCGATTTCCCAATAAAAGAGATCTTGCTACAACGAAAACATGCACCTTATCACGTGCAGCGTCTGTCTCCCCGCCCGTCCACAATCCGGTACGGTCCCTTCAAAAAATGTTTAAAACAACGAAAGCATGCATCAAAGGCAGTGCGAAACCTGTTGGACCCGAAAAACCACTCCTGGAAGTCACTGCCATCGAAACGATATGCGATGCACATGCCGGGGCTAACGCCAAAACCACCAGCAACAATGACTCCCAGGTGTTTTTCCTTCGCGCTCTCTGTAATGAAACTCAGCATAATTATCGTGTTTTCTCCCCACCCCATTATATATACATGTACCAACATCCAAAAGCCTGGACTTCTCATCAACAGTCATCAATAGCATTTCCTCCGCGCGCTCTGCCATGCAACTCAGCATGATTTAACTCATTTTCTTGCCCAATACATATATCAACACCCAAAAGCCTAACCTCTCAATCAACAGCAGGAGATGTAACAGCACCCGCGCTCACATTCCGCCGTGTGGCATACGAGCGTCTCGTGTGACGCACACACGCCTGTACCAACATATTTCAACAACGTGCACGAGACAGCTGCCGGCCTTCAGGCCAAAAGACAAAACAACCTCCAGGGTAAAATGCCCTGCTACCCTCGATCTCGATCTAGCGCCAAAAGAGTTACACCCCGTTGTGAGAACACGGGTGTGTGTTCCTGCCTCTGCGTGAAAAGATGCAATCGCCTCGTGCCCAAGAGGTAAATGACACCCACAACAACAGACCAGTCAATACACCAAAAGCGGTTCCTCTTCCTCTAGTTGCCAAAGAGAATCAACACGAAAAAGAGGTGAAAGAGACAAGGGATCATGTTGTTGCCATGTTCACGTGACCTGTTTCTAGTGTACCTGATCTTCCCTACTCTTCGGTGCTGAAAAACAACGTAACCGTGAAGTGAATATTCCACAAGGACCCCAACAGAGCAAGCCGCAACACCTACAGAAGGATTTGCACAACTGAACAGTAAAATCAGTAAAATCAGAAAGGTAAGGAGACCCCCTTGCTCAACGGGCTCGGAAGCCGAGCAACGACTCAAGTAACCTATGGAGTCTCGCAAACACAACGAAAAGGAACAAGGACGACAAACAAAACGGCCAGCAGCCGCCACGATCAACACCACTCTTCTCTCTCGTTTTTTCTGCCCTGTACAAGGCAAAATCAACATGGAGGCCTGAAACCATGACCAGTGCCAAAGGCTTGCACGCGATGCATGATCCCTACGACCAGCAGTCACAAAGCCTAAAAAGTGACTTTTGATTTTCTGTGTTGAAAACACAGGCATACATGTATACAACGTAAGATGTATGTATATATCTATATATATATGTGTATACCCCCCCCCTTCATATGACTCGCCAAATACCTCACGGCGCTTCGCGCTTGGTGATGTGAGAGCCTGGTCCAGTGAGAACCCGGCGTGCTCCGTCCCGGCTTTG